AGACATGCAAAGAGGAGGACACACACCTTTCAGGGTTCAGAGCACATGGGTCAAGGCTCCAACAGAAGCTCGAAAACGGCAACAGAGTAGCGGCACAGCCGCAAAACATTATGCAACAAGTGTACATAGGATTCTATGCAGTACCTGCAGCACGTCTTGGCGCGGCTGCACAGTGCAACCTATTCAGTCATCTGCACCGAGACATCTAAGACTGTAGAGATGCATAGCAGTGTACATAGATGTGTCTCCGCGCGGAGGGTAGTCTTATGTAGCCCTTCAAGCCGCGCTCTGCGTTGCGTAGATCAAGAGATAGATAGAGATCACGATATGCTTCAGGCTTCACAGGTCCTCTCCTCTAGTATGACCCCTCCCCAACTGCAGATGCAGTTCGAATTCCACTCAGGTTGGGCTGCAAGATGTCTTGGACACAACCAGGAAGCACAGTACTTCGCACATCACCGAGAGAGTGGAGGACTGGGGTACTCACTGTTTTGGGTGCTTCCAAGCCCTGACCTAGAAATACTCACGCAAAAGACCCTTGCTGGATTTCACGCGGTCCCCCTTAACAACATGGCCCCACAAAGCATTCCTCAATTCTGAGGGCCATGGGCTTACAGTTTAGGGTTCAGGGTCCTGATTCATCCAAGCCTTGTTTGGGGGCCCGCAACTTGCAGGGGGACCCAGGATGCCAAGACGAAAGGGTGTTTCGAACACTGAGCCTTCTTCAGGATCCAAAGGCCCCCAAATTTGGGCTGCGAAGCTATTAGTTTTTCGTTTTGAGTCAGGAATTTAAGACAGCTGCGGGCTTCAAGTTAACGATTTGGTGTCTGGCTTCCTTAACCTAAAGAACTTAGAGGCACAGGAAATTCAACAAGACTTTCTTGTAAAGTTAGACCCCCGAAATAAGAACACATCATATAGCGCGCTTCTATCATTCCCCCCGATCTTGAACAAGGGGGCCACAAAAAGGATCATAGAGGACCTCTTCAATAATGATGCAAGTCCGGATTTGCAAGTGGCTAATAGATTCTCATGACAATTTTTGCTCAGCGATCCATCTCACACAAGACCTTTATGTTACACTCCGGATTTTTGCAACCACCCCTGTTAACACCGTTTGGTTTTTTTCTTTTTTAACTTGAAATTTCATACCAACAAAGAGCCCAGAGATGCAGAATTAGGCCCAAAACCACAATACAATTATGCGAAGGCGGGCTAGCCCGCGCAAATGCATATAGTTACAGACATGTATGAGTAAGTACATGAACATGTATATGGATGTTGTTCTAAATTCTGGCACCGATGCCCGCAGTAGGGTTTCCTTCCGCCTTTGGGTTGTCCTGCTCGCATGAGGATTTACACGCATTTTAACAGTATCCTCACAGACACTATCATCACAGCGCATGAGAAACTACTTCTTCGTACGCCCACCATTGCGCAAGTTTGCGCGGGTATGGGTTTTACAACCCCTCTAAACACGCCAATGCTGCCCCTAGTCTTGCTACAAATGGACGGGTTTGAGATTGGCATCCGTATACCTATAAATAACGACATACCACTCAGGCGCTCTATACAGAATGGTAGCAGGTGTTCTACTTTTACTTCTTATCGGGAAATAAATAGAAGCCCATTTGTTTCCAATTGGCGGCTAATGAGGCTCTTTATTCTCTCATTAACCCACGGGAATTAGCTGCGTTCTTTGAGGGCTCTCCTTTACTTCCTAGCTGCTTCGGTCGTTCTCAAGCTTTTACTATGAGGGAATGTGTATAAAAAGCGCGTGAATGAATTCCAATAAACGAGCGATTTCCGAAATTTCCTGGAACCTTTTGTAAGGTTCTGATAGCAAATTGCACATTGACAACTAAACACGCAATTAATTGGAATTGGGGTTCCTTTATTCTTTGGATTTTTTTTTGTCTTTGCTGCAGCGGTATCTGGCTTTTAACATGAAATATGAACAAAGAATTACGAGATGGTATTGATTGGTTTGTAAAGGGCTGTGATACCGGAGCTCATATTAGGCACAAATCTCAAGTCTATGAGGCTAGGAATAACCAACCCACTAATCCATGCCCGGCTTGCAAAAACTATCTCACAGAAATTACCCTCAAGCGCACCCGTCAAACACACACACACACACACACACAGAGCCCACCTTAAACCCTAAATCCTAAATGGTAGTTTCCATTTTCTGCTTCATTACCCCAATATATCCCCTGTATAACCCTTATATATCCTCTATATAACCCCATATAACCCTTACCCCCCCGGGCTTTAAGAAGAATACCTTCTGAATCTGCAAACTGTCAAAGCAGAAAGGCCTGCAGGCCTTTAGCCAAGAGGCCAACAACCGAAATCCGAAAGGTCCTGAGAATTGTAAAGTAGAATTCTCATGAACTCCATGCCCAGACAGGAATGACTCGACTGAACCCTAGAAGCCGCGGCAGCCTCTGGCTCCAGTAGCCTGCAAACCCAGAGGATTTGGGTATGCATCTATCCGCAAATAGATATACATATATATATATATATACCATATATATATACACACACCTCTACCTTTATGTATTCTATGTAAACATACATACATATGGATATATATATGTATATGTACACATATAGAGATATATAGGCTGAATATAAGGTATGAGGAATACCCAGCATGATGGGTACAGTACCGCTACAAATTTGAGCTTGAAGTTACAAGCTCAGGAGCTCAGGAGTCGAAAGCTCCTGGCATTCATGTACATCGAGGACCGGTAAGATCTAGCGAGTTCAAGCATCACCTTAAAATCTTCCGCCGACAGAGGCATTTAATAATTGGATTGTGGGGCTTGTCGTTGAGCGTGTCAAGGGGAGGGGGTGCTTGGGATAAAACTTCAGGGACTCGGGGAGCTCTGAGGATCGGAGCTTTTCAAGCAGCGATCCTCACTGCCAGCAAAAGGCCTCAACACCCCACAACCCTTCAGCACAACAATCTTGCAAGGTCGGCAACCTTCGGTCCCATGTGACAAGGGCCCCTTCAAAAAAACTTTGCGCATGCGCTCAAATCAGACGCGGGCAGTTAAGTCCCAATTCTGGTCAACAAGGAGGTATCGTCTGATCATGGTCAACTGCGGGAACAAGAGTTTCCAGCAGAGGCGCCTAGGTCCTTCAAGTTGCAAAGAGTATCTGCAAAAAGTGTGAGTTACACGAAATCCATATTCGCCGCGGCGAACCCTTTCAGCTGCGCATGGCTCTGCACAGCGCAACTGGCCTTAACTTCAAACCCTGACCCTGTCAAAAGAAGGTTGGTATGCAACATCTCGAAGGACTCTTGGGTACCAGCTTTGGGTCTGAAACCTCCGTGCCAAAGATCCCCGAACAACGCATGCCAGGGCCACCTGGTTGATCCAGCACATGATAGCAAACCAAATGTCGAGCACAGCCGCAAGGAGCCGGTGCGATGCATGGTCAACAGTTAAGCGAGACTCACATGGAACAGGACATGGATGGGTAACGGGAAATTGGAGCATGTAGGGTTTATGGGCTTTTTGTCGTGGGTGGCGCCTAAATTGATTATGATGCAGGAAAATCAAGTGGAGATCTTGGGGATTTGATGTAATGGCCCCAAAGGCTTGTGTAGAATAGGGGCTTAGAACACGTTCTAGCAGATAAGAGCTCCAAGTGGGATTTAGTTTGCAGGGCTTATTGGAGTTTCTAGGTTTTGGAATCAGGCGCAGCGATTAAGACTTGATTTGGATTTAGGGTTCCCCAGCTGTGTTTGGCGATAAGCAGCTGCGGCTGCAAATGTGGACCTGTCTCATGCAAGCATGCCAGGAAACTCAAGTTTACTCCTGTCTATCTGATGCTTATAATTTAGATTGCACCGACAAGCAAGAGCTGCCTGGAACGGCTTGAACAGCACATAAAAAGAGTCCACAGCCTGCTATAGCAGATTGCAAGAACCTTGAGTAGAAACGTCTGTGATGCCCTGAGGCTCAAAGGGCTGCGCGGAGGGGTGAAAGCAATCCAAACCCCAGAATCTTGGCAATCTCCTCCGGATAGAAGAGCGTGTAGTAGGAATCGAAGTCTGGCCTCGGGCTCATCAGGTCTCATGCTTGCGGCTTGTCTTGCAGGCTGTGCTAGGCACCGTCCAAAGGAGAAAGAGGGAAATGCAATGAAATGCATGTTAGCCTGTGGGGGGGGGGGGTACTGTACGGAGGGTCCACGTTCAGCGCATGCATACAAGGCAGGGGCAGGACCCACAACTCTTGCACCACCAACGGATCCTTTCCTACTGAGAGACACCAGCGTGATCTAAGCAATGTAAGATGAGAATGGAATCAGATCAGTGGTCACCATGGGCCTGAGACTGGCCGCTGTGAGACGCACCGGTCAGAACATGTACCATGTATGTTCGATAGGCAAGTGTAATGGACGCTACAAAGGACTGCAGAGTTTGAACGTGCCATTAGACCTCCAACTTGATTTTTTTTCGCTGTTTGCCCACCTAACCAGTCGCATGTTTGGCCTCAGGGGCTTTACGCCTGGCGCTGTCAATTGGCAATCTTTACTCAGCCCTATGTCAGCTAAGCCTTTACAATTATACACACAATTACCTGGTAGGGCCTTAGGACCTTGCAGAGACTTCCTCACAGGGCAAGGGCCAAACCTAAAAGTGTGAAATCAAGACGTGTTCGGGAAGATAGTGCACACAGCGAATGGAAACGTCCCAGAGTCTACGGAACACCGATTCACTTTGAGAGAGCTGGCACGGTACAAACTTGCAATGACAGCTGGGAGCTCGTGGCCAAGCAGTGACAACCTGACCAGTCTGATGACGACGTGGCTACCGCACAAACACTCAGTCCGAATCTCTCCTTTTCCGCTATGGCTCAGAACGGTAGCTAAGAATCTCAAGGGGCCCCTGCAGCCAAAAGGCATCCAGAGCAAAGAGTCAAGGTGCTTGCACACATGCATTCACAGCACCCTAAAACTATCGTTGACTCTTTGGTCTTGGCCTATCTACGTTTGACCTGCCCTGTCTCCCGACGTCGGAGTCGTTCTTCTAGGCGATCTCCTTCAGCAACGAGTCGGAACGTGCTCTTCTCGATGACGTCGAAGAGGGTCGCAGGGTTGGCCCCTAGCTTGGTGAGAGCATCCACGATCATGCTCTGGTGCTCGACCCATCTGACTTGGACCCCCATGCCGTCTATGCGCTCGCGGGCTATTGCAACGTCCAGAGCGGTGAACTTGTCCTGAGGCTGGTTGCCGTCCTTCATGAGGTTGTCATAAAGAGACTTCGCGTCCGACACTGACAGTGACTCTCGAAGCGTCTTGTCCGCATCGGACTTCTGCAACACTAGTTCCGCCTGCGCCTTGATGCTCTGCTTGAACTCGGCCAAGTCGAAGTTCGGGTCCAGCAGCTCGGCATAGATCGCGCGCGCCCACACGAGATCTCCTAGGCCCTTGTTCAAAGACTGGGCCTCGGCTGCCAAGGTCGAAGTCACCTTTCGTCTCAGCTTCCCGGATTTCCACCACACGATGGAGCAAGCCGCCACCTCGCCTTCCAAGAGGCTCTTGTCGAACGCCACGATCGCCACAGCCCCTTGCGAACTGCCGTCCTCGTGGTTAGCCCAAGAAGCATCTGTCACGGTGCCCCATCCAAGTCTTTCAGGCGGTGTCGGGAAGTACCGCAAGGTGAGGTCTCTTTTGCCTTTGGCACTTTGTATGGCCTTGTTGATCTCCAGCAAGTCCTTCACCTTCAGGTTCTTCATTCGGGCTGCCAAGATGCTTGCTGGAGCTGCCAAGTCGGGCCTTCCTTCCTTGGCTGCCCAAGCAATTGAGCCAATGACTCCTCGGGCTTTCTGCCTTTCGTCCTCCGTGGCTGGGGACTCGGGATGGCTTCGCCTTCCCCTCTCGATCGACACTGGAGCCATGCGCTCCTCCACATACTTGCCCATGTCGACGGAGATGGTGCCATCCATGGCCTGCCGAATGCGCCTGCCATTAAAGGTGGTGCCTTCTGGGAGCTCCTGGAGGTACTTGAACTTTCCGAACTTGAACCTCTCTCGCAGCATGCTAAGGCGCCGGTCGTGCTCTGTGTAGCCGAACGACAGAATGTCGTCAATCTCTACGATGATCAGGCCCTCAAGCTTGTTGTCGTAGGACAGCGAGAACACGGTCGGGTCCAAGCGGGACTGCCGGTACTGGAGGCTGCTCGTGATGTACTCCTTGAAAGTGCCTCGCCAATGTGCCGGACCATCGATCAGTCCGTAGACTCCGGCCACCAGATCTATGATTTGCCCTGGGACCATGCCGGGCAACCCGCCTTTAGGCTGTCTGGCGTAAAGCTTGCCGGCTGGCCTTTGGAGCGGGTTACTTTGCATGAATGCGGATTTAAGATCCCCGCAAGAGCCTGGCATGCGATGGCTTGCGGCCAACTGGAGGATGACCTGCAAATTTTGAGTGCACACTGTAGGCGAATAGGCTTGGAGTTCACATGCGTCTGGGTCCTGGTCACCCCTGACGCACCACCTCGATTTGAAGCTTGGTGGTTCGCCTATCTGCTCCGACGGCTTGTACCTCCGAACGCTACGGCTGTCTATCACCCGGCTGAGCTCGTGGGTCGCCTCGAGCCTTTTGAGGGTCTCCAAGGACTCGGCCAAGGATAACACCCTGACAGCAGGCGATCCCTCGATCTTACTCCACTCCTCCGCGTCTGCGACGTGCCACTGGGGCCATTCCTCCTCCGGAATGTCTCTCTCGTTGACTTCGTCGCTGCTGGTCTTCTTGGCTGCGAAGGAGTGCGGCGGCAGGACCTCGTACATGTAGCGCTCGTTCTTCTGAACCTGCTGGTGCTTGCGCAAGGCCTTCAAGGCAGACCTAGTCAAGTAGAAGTCGGTGAAGCCTTTCCACTTGCCGGTGGCTTTCTTCGCAGGCTTGAGGCTCTTCCAGTCGTCGTCCTCCTGGTCCAGGGCGCCGTCTTTGTAGCGCCGGGACACGGACCTCTCGCAAGTAAGTTGCGAGATCTCCGTGCCTTTCACACCGGCCGTTTTGGTGAGGTGCTCGGGCTCCGATCGTATGAATGCCGAATTGGCTTGCTCTGTCCCGAAATTCCCCAAGGAATTCTGTTCCTTGATCCAACAACAGCACCTGCGGAAACCCCAGGAACCTGGCCCAGCTTCTCATAAATGCCAGCCCCATCCCAAGTGGGCATTTGCAAGAGGTCAACCGCCACCACCACATTCGGAGAGTAACTCTTGGGTATGGCTGCTGGCCGGGCCGGCTTCGGAAGAACTCCGGAGCTGCAAGCAGGACAGCGAAAGGAGCGCTTAACCCATTTCCAAAGATGCTCGGGCGCTCCTCCAATCCGCAAAGTTCTAGCCAGAGATGCCGCACTGGGGTGCTCCAAGTTCTGGTGAAGCTTTTGGATTGCCTCTCGTTCTTTGGCGCTCGGCTCCCTGACTGGTGGCGCACTGTTGTTCTTCTCGAGCTCCTCCTCGCCGTCTCCCGGGACGTCGTTCGCATCCTGGTCTAGTATCTCGTCCAAGTCCAGGGCGTCCGGGTCCACCTCCGCCGGGTAGAACTCGGGAAAGTCCTCGACGGGAGACTGCCACCAAGTTTCGGCCGACACTGAAGTTGGGGACGAGGAATGCTTGTACTTGACAAAGTCCTTGGCGTTGGTAAGAGTGCGGGACTTCCGCCAAAGACGCTGCGCTGCTGAACTTTTCAGGCAGTTGGCCCTCAGCTGCTCCCATGCTGGAGTCCTGGCAACTCGGTCAGGGGCTTGTATGAAGAAAGCTTTGCCCCTGGCCCACTGCGCCCGTGCCAATCTGCAAACGTGATCTACTCGGCGTTTGTCGGCGCCAACTCGGGCCATGACCATCGCCTCCGGGGCCTCCTCCCATAGCTTCCACTCTAGCGGCCTGGCCTTGCCGAAAGTCCAGTGCTTTGACTTGCCCGCTTCCTCGTCCGGCAAGCTCGCTTATCCAGGTGCAAATTGCGCCCTGACAGTCAGGAAGGTTCACCTCCTGGTTCGGAAAAATCTCCACATCCTCAGAAAAATTGGCGTGCACAAACAACTGAGGCTCATTGATGACATGGAAGATCCCCGGCACAAAGGCAGTGGGGCTGTCAAAATCGGCGCGGTCCCGCCGAACGAATTCTCCGTCTCTCTTCAAAACAATAAACTCCTCAACTCCCATGGCACTGCCTCGCAGCCATCTTCCAAAGGTGGCCGGAGTGGCGGGCTTCAAGACGCGAGTGCTGCTGGGATCTCTCTGCTCCACGGTCTCCCGGTTCAGCTGCGCAACAGAAGAGTGGCTATCTGGGACCTCTGCTTGCTGCAGCACAGCCTGGTAGTAGGCAAGGATCTGGGACGATCCACTTTCAGCGACTCCGAGGCTTGGGTCCACTGGATCCGCGTCTCCTTGGACGGATGGTGAGTGTTCATGTAGCGGCTCTCCCGCTCCGTCGCTTGAACTCCCCCGCCATCATGCTGTCCAAGACCATCTCGAGGGACAAGCACGCGTCCTCCGCCCCGGGCCTTGGAGGAGCTCCAGCTGAGCTCGAAGCTGGTCCAAGTCCTTCTTCTGACCTGCTATCACTGCTTGGTACTTCTCCTCCTTGCCCGTGTCCGCACTGCTCGAAGTTGCTGGCGTCGGCGCTGGCGCTGGCTTGGCCTTGGCTTTGGCCGAGGCAGGTGTCGAGCTCGCGGTGGTCTCCACCAGGGCCCTCCCAATGACTATCGAAGCAGATCTCGGGGACAGCTTCCAGGGGCTCAGGCATTGACTGCAGTGAACCCAATTCATGTGTCCATTGCCCCCGCCTTTGAGGTATTGTGCTTCGTGGAGGCATTCCTCGGAAGGCTTGATCGGAAGACCTTTCACTCTGGTGAGCTGCTCGGGGTTCTTCTCCAGGTAGTTCTTGTAGAAGTTGGCCTTGGAGGTCGCCGCCAAGGTGGTCCCCGAGCGCGTTGTGGTAGTGCTTGCCGGGCTTACCTCCAAATTGGTCGCCGAAACACACATCCAGGCCGAGATGGCCGTTTGATAGCGGCCCCACTGCAAGACACAGTAGAGCTTGTCCAACACGATGCGCCAAGCTTTGAGTGCGGCTCTTCCTCGATGTTCTGGCCGGGTTGCCCGAGCTGGCGCTGCCTTTGCCGGGCGCTGCTCCGCACGAAGCACTTGGGACGCAAGCATGTCCGAACAAGCTAAGGGGGGCGTGAGGTCGCATAAGGCTTGGGCCACAGCGCTTCTGCACAGACACTTGCTGAGAGCTCGTTCGAAAATCTCGTTCTTGACGAACTGCTTTGCAAGCTTCAGGGAACTGCCATCCTTTGGGACCAAATTCCATGATACTGATTGCCAGGTGTCTGGAACCCAAAGAATGCATGACCGTATCGGCTTGCACGTGGAGAAGCTGGATGGTACTTTTGGGAATATTGATCACCGCACCCAAGGCCTTCAACAAAGAAATGGGGATCAGCAAAGGGACGTCTTCTGCTACGACTGTGACCTCCAAAACTCCGGGAACCCCCGCCAAACCGACTGGAAGCTCGCACACGCCCACAACCGAAGCATTGCCCCCAATTCCCCGTGCACTAGCTGGCTTGTCTACCCAGTGCCCTCGAAGGCCGAGAGGCCGAAGTGCACCTAAGTACTTCAACAAGGCATTCTTGCCGACGAGCCCCTCTTGCGCTGCAGTGTCCACCAAGCCCTGGTGATCTTCTAAAGCAACCCCAATGAAGCTGGAAAGCCCGGAACCTTGTTCACTCGCAACCTCTTTTGCGCTCTCTTCTGGGCTGGCTCCCGTCAAAAAGGCCGCCGATGAAGAGCTCTGGTCGGGACCCGTCCGCCAGTAGAAGGAGGTACGCTGGGAACTCGGAGCCGCCGACGACGAAGAAGCTGATGCCGAACCTGTGGTCGCAGAACGCTGTCGACATTCCCGGGCCCAATGCCCCACTTGACCGCAAGCCTTGCAGCGGGTTCGAAGCTTCAGCTCTTCGATGTGCACCTTCCGCGGCGTTGGTCCGGAGGAAGGCTTTCCTCCAGATCCTTTGCTGGGCTTGGACTTGCCCTTCCAGCCTGGCCTTTGCCTGCCCCTTTCTCGCGGGACTTCCCCGACAGTGCAGGCGGGCGATAGAACTGTCGTCCCAGACGGGTGTCCTTGATCTGCTGGCGCACCTGCTGGTAGGTAGCCAAAGCTTCCGCCACCTCGTCCTCGTCCAGGACCTCGTCCAAGTCGCCCTCGTTCAGGTACACAAAGTTGGGGTCATCGTCCTCCAAGTCGTCCGGCCATCCGCTCTCGTCAAAGAGCGTCACGCAGGGCTCTGCGCTCAACTCTTCTGGCTGGTCTTCCGCTCCTTCGGGAAAGTCGGTCCAAAAGGCCTTCTTGCCGCCCTCCGTGACCACGCGCTCCAAGCGACGAAGGTTGGCGGTCACGTTGTCCAAGGAGAAGTCGCCTGCCAACCAAGTAGTCAGGCGTGAGTCCATCTCGTGGTCCAGATTCGCCTGGCGGTACAGCAAGTAGCCGGAAGCTTTGGTAGGCAGCGTGACGCCCTCATCCTGGAGCTGGGCCTGCCCTTTCTGAAAGCGGATGAGGTACTCCGTCAGGGTCTCCTTGTGGGAGCACGGCTGCCCATACAGGGCTGACTCCAAGGCCCTTGGCAGAGCCGTCTCGACGAAAGGAGCGAATGCCGCCTTAAGCTTCTTGACCACATTGGCGAAGCCGTCGGCGCCCTTGATCTCGTCCACCGTCAGGACCTCCACAGCCGACTTGGCAGCACCGGACAGAACCTGAACCAACTTCAAGCCTTGCTTCTCTGCTGGCACGTCCGTGGCCGCCTGCCAAAGTTCCAAGTCACGAAGGTAGGCCTTGAAGGTCGACTGTGGGTTCTCGCCGGAGTAACCCGGTGGAGGGTCCTTGTCTCGGTAGACCCAGCCCTGCTCTCCGTTTGCTTGCTGCGCCATGGCACTCGAAGATCTTGCGGCGGATCGGGTAACCGAGGTCTAAGGCGCGAACCTTGAAGTCGAAGAAGACGCTCGCTCCGGTGGGCTCCTCGAGGCACTCCTGGATCGGCGCCTCCGGGAAGAAGAACTGGCCGCCTGCGCTGGCTCGCCCTCGCTCTCGCTCTCGGTGTCGTAGACCTGCAGAAGGTTCACGGACCGAAAGAAGTCCTTTCGGATCGAGGGAGAAAGCCGGCTGGCGATCTTCAGCGTGAGGTCGTTCAAGGGCGGAATGCTCTTCCAGGGCGCTGCCTGCTCACGTGCTTGGCGAGTAGCTGAAGCCTGCACGTGCTTGTCTTCCTCTGGCTTGCCCAGCCGCCTCGAAGTCTCCGCCCGAAGCTGCAGGGACAAGTAGTACTGGCCCTGGCACCTCACGGAGTCCAGCTCTGCTTTATCCCCGAGGCAACAGGCTCCGGTGCCAACTGACGACGTGGCTACCGCACAAACACTCAGTCCGAATCTCTCCTTTTCCGCTATGGCTCAGAACGGTAGCTAAGAATCTCAAGGGGCCCCTGCAGCCAAAAGGCATCCAGAGCAAAGAGTCAAGGTGCTTGCACACATGCATTCACACTGATCAGCAGGTTTGAGTCGAGATAAACCCCAAGCGAGGGGGCCTAACGCAAAGCCGCTGTTACACGGAAGAAAGCCTTCCCACCTGTTCCGAAACCCAGACAAAACTGTTAGACATCTAAACCCAACAGCTGAGCAAGATGGCTGACTGATTTTGCTACCGGCGTGGTTGACGCACTGGAGCGTAGCCTTGGAAGTCCAGCGGTTGAGACTATGGGGTATGAGCAGGTCGAGTTTCTGCACGAGCTGAAGACAGGGGAAGGATGGGCCCTCAGCAGGCGCTGCAAGGAAACCAGCCCCCTCTCTGCTTCACTACGTTGACGTTTTTGGGCCGACTTTCCCTGGCTGTGGTTCAATCATGTTCAATCTGACACATTCTCCTGCCTTATGCTGGGCCGAGGCTGTGGCAGGCTTTAAACTTCTAGCTACTCAAACAGAACATCTCAACTTGCGCCGGTAGTCAGAAGACTGGTGCACTGGACTTGAGACCAGATGTTCAAGACAATGGCTTCACAGCACAGAAGACCGGACTTCCAGGATTGAGAGGCCTCGATGCACAGCATGGCCTCCTGATTGCCTTCCTTCAGCCGCATCTAACTGCTACATAACTTGCTGGATAGTAGGGAATAAAGGAACCCATCGAATAGCACAGCAACATTATCCTCATCATAACTCCCAGAAACCACTCAAATGCAAACTTGCCACATTATCTGAGAATCCATTCCTGAAGTTGCTACTTGCTCCTGGCCTACACACGAGCAAGATGGTGCTCCCACTGCACCATTCCCAGCAAATTCCCTGATGGTTTTGGAGTTTGCGTTGAAAGGGTTAGGGTTTGGTTGCTGAACCATCTTCACGCAGAAAATACTGCTTTTGCACTCCACATAGACCAGGTACCCAAAAAAGACATTGCCAAGCAAATTGATGTGTGGTTTTCCTTTTCTTACTGGTGTTCAACTATTCTCTCCGTTGTGCTCTTGGAGAGTCTTTCACGGCAATTTCCGGGAAGTAAGACCCACTTGCCAGAAAGTTAGACTGCCAGCGAGCACGTCCACCCTGCCCCGCCATCGAATACACCTTTCTGCAATTTACACAGCTGCCAAAGTGCCATCCCATGTCTCATATCGCCCTCGAAGTGATCCTACGCCCCATCATGGCAAAGCCCAAAACAGGATCCACTATACAGCTCCCCCTACAACAACAACAACCTTGACACCCTCGATCTAAACCCTGAACCCAATCCAACACCTGAGGCCCTGCAACCCTTAGCCCTTGAACCCCTGTAGGCTAGGAGCTCGAGGAGGGATCTCCCTGTAGCTGATGAAACTTTTTTAGCGATACGTGGCATATAAGGCAATGGGATTAGGGATGCCTCGTCATCCCCCCTTCATTGAAACCAGGAGTTGCATAGAACAGCTAGCTTCAGCGCCACACGGCCAGGGGTGGGATGGCCTTGCACCTGTGGCAAGCTTCCAGGGGCTGGGACCACAGACGAACATGTGATAATGGTAGCTATATTAAGGGCGGTCTTCAGCTTACGTTGCGCCGCATATATTCCATCGTTGGGGCTGCCTAACCGATACCAAGAGGCTTTCACCTTCATGATTCTGACCCTCTTGAATGCAGGTAGGTCTCCGCTTGGGACACATCTCAGCGGTTGTCTGATCTAAGACCGCGGCAGCTTCACCTGATCGATGTCCAGCGCAACAGTGAAACTGGGCTGAATATCCTCATCAAGGTACTGGATGAGAACATCAGTCTTGATGGATAGAATAAGCAGTAGAATAGGGGAGTGGGGTGGTAGTTGTTGTCGGACTCGTCGTTACCGCAGCCACCACTGCCATCACCTCTTTGTCTTTGTCGATGTGCTTCTTGTCATCGGCGTGGTCGCGGTGTAGTTATGTTGATGGGTCGTGGGTCACGTAGTATTAGTGGCGTGGCGGCAGCGCTGATTCCGATACCCTGCAAGGGTATAATCGTTCAAATCCAAATGGGAAGAGCAAACATGAAAAAGCAATAATGAGCTGAGAGGAGGAGTAGCAGCAGCGACTAGCACTCGCACTAGCACTCGCACTCGCACTAGCAGCAGCATCAGCAACAGCAGCAACAGCAGCGGCAGCAGCGGCAGCAGCGGCAGCGGCAGCGGCAGCAGCGGCAGCGGCAGCGGCAGCAGCGGCAGCAGCAGCAGCGGCAGCACCGGCAGCACCAGCACCAGCACCACTACTAAAAATAACAACAACAGTAATCATGCAACACTGCCACACTAC